ACTTGAAATCAGGACAGAAACTTACTGTTAAGTTTCTGCTTTGTGATAAGATGATAAAAGACATTACTTGAGAAATTTTAAAGGTCCTTGCTCAAAGCTAAAAGTGGAAACTTTTCTATTCCATTTTTGAATGTAACTTATTGACAATGTTATTGCGTGCTCTTGATAAATCTGGCTTGATCTGTAATTGAGTTTTTCTTTTCTGCAGAGTTTCTACTTATAAAAGTTACAAGCATTCTTTAACAGCATTAAAGCTGATTTAGGATGTCTTAAGTGAAACTATATTGCATGAGTTTTAATTTGAAGAAACAAAACACATTGATTAGTTAAAATTCACTGCATTGATTAATACAGGTTAATCCTATGGTGTTAGATTTTTACAGCACTCTTCATCCTTTCTGAGCTACAAATGTATCCCTCTGGTGAAATTAAGTCCATCAAACAACTATGAGGAAGGAGAGGGAGGGCAATTTCACTCAAATAGTGTCAGAGGATATAGTCAAATGGCCCTTCTCTTCGTAACATACAACTTAGTGTAGAGGCTGCTGGCCTTACACCATTAGAACTTACTGAATTTCTTTTCTTCTGAAAACTTTATAAACAAAAATTGAATGTCCACATACTGGAACTTGTCTTAATTTCAAAACCAAGAAGCCTGGAGCCTTGACAATCTCTCTGCAATGGCTCACATCTGGTCCCTGGCAAGTGGCAGTCCTGTGAGACAGCAGCTCCCTGTGGCACATGGTTCCCTTGCATCAGCAACTATTTGACCACTGTCATGCATCACTCTTTGTTGCCCTGATCTGATCTAAGAATCTGTCACAAGCAGCCCAAATGCTTCCACTGTCAGAACTTGTTGCCCTCCACCTGTTTTTCAGCTGAATATTTTTCAGAAGAGAAAGACCCACCGTCCACTCCAAGAAGTCACATGCCGTGAGGCTCCACCATTGTGAGAGTCCCTCTGCCTGCTTAAGCATATATGTTTGTTCCTCTTCCTGTGCCATACGTGACTTTGGCTCTGTACTGCAGCATGGCCATAAAGAGCCTGTTATTTCTATTTTATCACCCCAGTCCTTCCTCCACCTGCTGACACAGAAACTCAACTCCCTGCAAGCCATACTTCTGCTTCTGCCCTCTGCATCAGCCTCACAAAGAGCGTGGGTTACAAGAGTGCCCTGAGACCTTACTGCTGAATGGCCACATCCTGCCATTGAGTGTGTATTGAGGGCTCTGACCTTGGAGTCACTCTATACAGGACAGGAGACCTGTGGTACCACCTTTGTTATTTCAGCTCTAGCAGTAAGACGCAGCCCTGAGCAAAGCCTCTGCAACACCAAGTGCCCATCACCTGTGTCAAGTGCAGCCTTAACTGCTTGATTTCTTTCTGCACAACCTGCTGGTAGTGCTCCTGATTGCCAGCACATCCCTGATGTGAATAGGAAACTGGGTGCAACTTTGATGTTCTCCCAGTGACATTTTCTAATCAACAGGCAAGTTCTTGCTTCTGACTCTGGCTGTGGTTCATACCTTGTGAACGCTGTATTTAACACCTCTCCCTGTGCGCCAAACAGGATGCCATTTGTGGTCCTAAATTCAGTTGCTAATAGCCAGTTTTTAACGTGTGCTATTGTTTTGAATAAGTAGCTCTTTTTCACTTGTCTTTAAATAAAATACCTAGAAAATAATTTATAAAATTAAAGACCATGAAATATTAAAATATCCCAAGAATATCCAAGGAATGTGGTAAAGGATGGGAACTATCAGACTTACAGCTGTTTGTGTTTGGGAGGATGTAGGGAAGGCTTAGAGGAGAGCCCTACTCTGCTGCATCCCACTACTGTAACTCATTTTAAACCCCAGTATTTAAAAAAAAATTGTAACTCTTCCCCATGCTTAAATCATTTTCTTTTTTGGAAGTGACTTCCATCTGAAAATTTTTGAGAGTTAAACCATTAGCAAAGAAACATTTCTTTCAAAAGTAGTCAGTTTCCCCATTTTCTCAACAGGTGTAAAAGGGACAAGATTTCTTTATTTTTTTTTTTTTTCTGTATTTTCAACAGATGAAGATGAGAGGAACTGATGACTACATCAGAGATAGCTAATCAGCATTTTAGTCCTATTGTCCTAATGAAAGGAAAAATATTGGACTGAAGAAAGAAAAGTCAAACAGAAGACAGCATATTGCATATAGTTCAACTTCACTAAAATAAGGGAATATGGAAAGCATATGTAACAGACCATTCAGTGTAGAATTGCATGAGGAAACTGCTACTCTTCAGCCTTATTTAAAAGGAATTTTTTGTTATAAACCCCATCAAAAGTAAATGTTTGCTACAATTGATTTGATTGTTTAACAGAGTCTTTCCCTTATCACCTTTTGAAAAGAAGCTTGACATTTCAGCTACATTTTAATAATTAAATCTAAGAAAATAGTAAGAGCTAACCTGAGTTGTACCAAAGTGTTCATGTTACTCCATCTCTCCATCTCTAGCAAAAGTCACTACAGAGTTTGAGAGTATAGGATGAGAACAGACTGAAATTTTCTCTCCAGGTTCTGGCACTCCAGGACTTGTAATGGCAGTTATAGTATTTGCATAGGTCTTGACAGACCTGTTCGATAGGTGGTCTTTAGTGAATTTTTGACGGAAAGTCCTCCCATTCATTTGTTTACAACGTTTATGAGGACTTTACTTCTTAAGGCAGCTAAAATGTCCAGTGGCAATGGGTTCCATATTATAGTTGCAGCTTTTATAAAGAAGCATCACTTTCTGGTTTTATTCTCTTGCCTTTGAATTGTATCTTCTATCTGTTGTGATCTAAGAAACAACAAATTCCTGGTTATCTTCTCCTTCATTTGATACATATATTTGAGACATATATTTGAGACATATATTTGAGAATCAAAGTATATAATTACCTGTATCTTTTTTTTTATCCAAAGCAACTTCAATGTTATCTGTTTCAAAATACAAAAAAACCAAACCCTGCTGAACTTCTGCGAGGAGGCCAATTTTATCATTACTGTGATGTTAAATTAGCTACCAATTTACTTGTAAAACCTCATAAAATTCAATTATATCTATAAAAAATAAATGCTGTAACTTGGGAAGGATTGCTGTTTTTCTCCCACACATCTGTATGAGGTTGAATCTATTGAGTCTGTGCTTCAACCGCAAAACTGATAGTTAACTGCAAGGGATATGTATGTCCATAATTCTACTTGAGTGATAAAAGTCATAAATTTATAATGTCTGTACTGTAGCTAAATAATGTAATATTCAATATATTCATGAGAAATATAGAACCAAAATAATTCCATCAATGCTTCTGCCCTACACCTCGCTTTCCATGTGCAGATGCAAGACAGAGATAAAATACATCTCTACTGGATTCATTAGATTATATTGCTTCCCTCCTCTTCTTGAAAAAGCAGGTTCTACTAGTTGGTGTTTTTTTTAATCACTTCAGGCTAGCTATAGAGGAATATATGCTATATATGAATATATGCATCTCAGCTATGGTCAATCTGCCTGGTCATGCTCACTTCTGGAATACTGCTCCTCATCTGTCCCTTCATGTAAAACCAATCTTTTTCCAGCCCATGTATGCTTTGGAGATTGCCTGTGAAAGGAAAGATAACTTTTCCAACTAGCTGGAGCTACATAAAGAGGTGATGAATGGAGGCAGCAGAGATGCAACTGATGTTTACCTATTTTAAGTGAAGGAGAACAGGCCAAAGTTTTGGGAGGAGTAAGTTTCCCTGGTTCAGTTCAGTTAGGGTAATAACTTTAAAGCCTTATGATTATTCAACTGGCAAATTAGCCATTTTTCCGCTAATCAGAGGATTCAAAGAGAAAAGGAATAATGATTGCCGATGATTTACATTCAGAATGCGTATGGGAGAAAGAATTCAATTGCTTGATAGAGATCTGAAAAATTTATTGTGGTGTGTTGTTTGGTGTTTGTGGTTGACAAAACATGCATTTGCAAGGTCTTGGAAAGCAATTGCTGGTTTTGTCTGTAAACCACTGCATAATTTCTGCCGTAAAGAAATGTTCTTCTGTTGGGAGGAATAACATAGCTTTTGTGATGACAGTTTTGGTTCCATAAAACTGAAGTTTAAGAACTATGATCTACCACTTTCCCTATTTTCTTTCCGGATTTCTCCTGTACTCTACAATCAAGTAAATGAAGCTTGAAATGTGCTGTGTTTTAAAAGTGCGTTCTGGTGATTAGTAGTCTGAGCATGACTCATCAAAGGGACTGTGGATGTGAGTGAGGGAGATAATGAAACTGCAAACTGTATTATTAATTTGAAGGAACTGTATGACAGAAGTAGAGCCCATGTAACTCTACAACCCAGTATTCTTGTTTCAGAAAGTGAGATTTTTTTAATTCCTTCTTAATTATGTGAGAGTGAGCTACTTTAAACCACTGAATTTTAGGGTTTACTTTTTAAAACCTTTCACTTCCTGCAAGAAATATTAACTGGCCAACTCCTTTAGTAAATAAATTGTCTTCACCTTAATTCTGATTGAAAATAGAAATATAAAGATCTGTGACATTTTAATTCTGCTAACATCCACAGTTGTAGCTGTTTGCAAGTTAGGATTTCACCTTGTATAGACAAGCCTAATGTTTTACATAAAAAAGAATATACTACAGGCAGATAAGCCTGCTGAAAGTACATACAGCAAACAGAAGAAGCCACTGAAAGTCAAAACAATACACATACAGCACCAAGAATACATATTACTCTGTTTGGAAAAGACACATATGCAAGATATGCTTATAGTTTACAAGTTTTATCTCAATTAAAGTGAACATTAAAGTGCCTAAGTTTATATCTGGTAGTACCTAATTTCTTAATCCTTAATTTCCATAGTATTTTTAAAATTACATACTTTTTAAGGAAATTAAATGAGTTCAAATGGTATAATCCAATAAGGTGGAATAAGGTGGTTTCTTTAATCATCCTGAAAGTAATGGACACTGGGAGTTGAATAATATTTTCAGCTGATGTGTCACCTACCACTTTTTATGAAAAACAGTAAAAACAAGGCACTAAACTAATTAAAATACAGAATGGATGAAAACATTTGCTTGGTTCATCTATAATTACTTTTAGGGTGCCTAGGTTTCCTATGCTGGAATCGAGTATTCAGAGAACAATAAAAAAGTCCACTTTGTATCTCAACATGTCATTTAAAATATTACACACAAAATAATTTCTGAAATAGGCTTTTCTCATTTCTCCCTCTCCACAGACTTTTAATAAGAACAGAATTACATCCCTTTTCTTATTTGAAATAAGAATTGGTTTTGTTGTTTTTGTCAATGATGGAAATACCAGAACTTTGGTTTTATTGATTTATAACTTCCAACAAGTAACAACTGACATGGTTACAATATGCTATTAGATGACATCTATTTATATTTTTCTTTGTAATTTCCCAAAGGTATATATGAAGGGATGCATATGTACGTGTCTCTGTATGTGTAATTTCCAAATCTCTCCTTAGAGACTGGTTTAAAATTTGTAAACACGGCAATCTTGTTGTGAGAGTGAAAGTAAAGATTATACAGGGTCGTATATTCTGTGCTGGACCATTTCACACTGCTGGAGTTTACCTCTTCAATTAATTTAACTCACCTTTTAAAAATACCTCCAATGGAAGCAGGTACATTATTAAAAGAGTTACATTGCTAGAGTATGCTCTAGAGAATACTGCTAGTTGAGATTTATTTCTGGAAACTTGTTTTAAACTATAGTTTCACTTTTTTTTTTTTTCTTAGGCTTTCACTGCAAACAGTCTATGAACTCATATAGGGGATGCCAGATGTTTAGAAATATTAATTTTGCGAAGGCATGCAGCTCTCCTGCTGTGGCATGAAGGCACACAGAGATAAAACAATGAACTGTGCAGCTAAAACATTTAGGTTCATCTAAGTTTAATAAAGCTCAGAATTTGTAGATGCTATAAAAGAAGCAACAGACACATGTTTTATTGGTTATTTTTTTGTATCTGTAGCTGTTTTGGACTTCTAAGCTTTAATGTGTTGAATTAGGCTACTCACATGAGTCTTACTAAAGCCAGTGGAACTACTTATGGTAAGAAAGGAATGCTCATGTCACCGGATATGGGTCAAGATGTAGGTTTGTGTCCATGTTCATATTGCAGGAATCAGAAATTCATGTTTCTAGTGCCATATTGGTAGCTCAAATGGGTAGTCTTTGAGACTCCATCAATGCTACAAGATCTTCCATCTTCAGATGAGAATCTGTGATGAGGACTGAAATATTTTGTGCTCACAGTCTAGACAGTGATGTATTCAACAGAGAATACTGATGCTGTTACACACAGTAGTCCATTTTGTATAAAACTATTTTAACTTCTAGGAATAAATCTTGGATTAGCCTCAGATTTTGACAATACTGACATTTCCCTCACCAGTTTTCAGCTGTTGAGAAATATTGGCTACAGTTCTCCTCTCTGAGATTTCATTTTTATGGAAATAAATAGTGAAGAAAAAAAACTTGTCCATGCCTGTTTTTCCTACAGTGTTTATTAGCTTTTCCCAGGTTTTCCTGATGTGACTTTTCTCTCTTCTGCTCTTCCACTTTCAGAAGATGCTCAGGTGAGTAATTTTAGAAATGATAATGGACTTGGCCTGAACTTGAGAATTCTGATTTTCAAAAACTTTGGAAAGTCAACACATCTGGATTAATTCTAAATCAAAAACAAGTGACCAAAAAAAACAACCCAAAATTAATCACAAGCAACACAGGCTAAGAAACACTGTTTAGCTATCTTTGAAACAAGTATTTTTGCACTGAAATGATGTTTCCTGGGGTTGTGTTTGCATGAGATTGCTCTCCTTGTTTTTCTAAAGAAGCCAGAGGACTGTCTAACTTTAAGATTACTGGAACTGCTGGGTTTTCTGGTTCAAGATGAAGAGCACAGAGTTTAGGCTCCTGCCTTTCTGGCAGGAAGCCTGAAGCACCTGAAACCTGTTATGTAGTAGAGCTTACCTGAAGCTGCTGAAACCAGTTGTTCACTACAGAGTTCAAATTTAACCAGCCTGCATTTCAACAAAAAATGGAATCTTCTAGTTAGAAAGAATTCAGCTGTAAGGATACCACCTTAAAAAACCTTATTTCTTTTATAACAAACATAAATTCCTGTTTTCTGCAGGAAATAATCAGAGATCAACTACTTTTCCCACAAAGAGACTGTTTATAGGTGTTTACTGAAGGTGCCACCATTTTTTTCCATTAGCTGATTAGTGTACCCCAGGCTTCTAAGAAACATTTGAGCCCACAAAGGAATAAAATTGTCAGTAGCAACTATTCAAAGAAGTGGAACATGTAGGATTTCTGTCCCTATGCTTTGCTAAAGTTGAAATATAATAACATGGAATCTCAGTAGAGTTAATTACCCTAAAGATGTATTGTCAGGAACTCTTGAGGCAGATTATTCTGAAATATGAAAAACAGGAAGGAATGATTAATTTCTCTAGCAATGGGGATGGATCTTGTAGTGAGAATATTAATAAAGGATCAATCTGTAACCAAGTCAGCTATTTAATGTTTACTTTTAACATATATTATGTGGATTAAAATGTGGCTAACTGAAATAATCTCCTTTCCAAAGCGGATGTGTATAACAGATGCCATTGCTATACAATAGAAATTATTCAGATCACGATTGTTCTGATGTTGCTGTACTCAAACATCAAAACCATTAATAAGAAAGAACAATGCTTCCATGTAGATTGTATACCAGACAAATGGCTAAATGTTTCTTCCACTGATAATGGCTCTTGTTAGAATCAGGCAAATAAAAAGACTTTTTAGATGTTTTCAGGTTTATTTTTTTTTTTTTTTCCCTCTTAAAATACGTGATCCATTCAAGAAAAGCATAAACTGATACACAGTCTCTTCATCTTTTCAGGCTTAATAACTACCAATCCTTAAAATCCTGCTGGATTTTTTCAAATAACTTTTTGAATGTCTCTATGCTTTTAATTTCCATGATGTCCTGTAGATTGATGTTTCATAGATTAAATGTGAGGCTTTTTGTTTCCTTTTATATGTGTTGCCTATAGCGTTCAACAGTGCATCCTTTAATTCTCATTTCATGACAAACAATGAACCATTCCAACTTCCTCACAGGCTTGAGGGGGTGGAAAACCTAGCAAGGAAAAGCTAAAGTTGTAGAATGAGCTGTAGAGTGAGACTAGCTAAGGTTAAGTACTCAGGACAGTGAGCTCTGGAGAAGCTGTTAAACTACTTGGGCAGCTTAAGATTTTTGTATCTGACCTCTTGAACCTGGGGTATGTCAAAATAAAAGGCCATGTTAAATGATGTGAAGCTTCATATTTTCCATCAAAGAGCAAAGCATTAACACAAGGAGAACACATATATTCTCAGATATTGAATTACCCCCCAAAACAGCTAAAATTAGTTAAATGTAACCAATTTTTAATAAGAGTACTGAAATAAAACTTGTGTGTTCTCCATTTCTATCATGTTCAAAGGCATGCGAAAGTCCAGAAAAGATCCAGGGGAATTATGAACTTTGACACATCAGTTATCATTGTACTTCAGGTTACTAGGAAACACCCCTCTTCTGTTATAAGAACGAATATATATTTGGTAGACATATTTTTCTTCCAACTTTTGCATTTCACTCCAAAATCTAGCACATGATGGCCCCTTTCTATACAGATATTTTCTGCTATATGAGAGCTATATATGATATTCCAAAGAGAAATAATGGTTCTTCTTTTTCTGCTTGAGAAAATAAATAAATAAGGGTATGTTTTAGGATTATGAAATGACTCATTCATTTATGTTGACAAATTACTGTATCTAGGTACCCTATTAAAATACTAAAAGTATTATTCTTCCTACAAATCATTGTTTAGCATAATGTCATGATGACAAGCTCATATGAACTCCTAGAAAGAAAGCCTAAATAAAGGCAAAAATCAAGAGGCTTTCGAGGTTTCATCTGCTGTTTCTCTTAGAGACCATTTTAGGAAGATCTTACAGCAAACACTAAATGTAATATGCAGTTGAGCTTAGAATATGTTGTTTCTTGAAAACTAGTATCTTGTATAATAAAATAATTTGATTTTTTTTAAAGCTTTTTCCCACTATAATTTGGCTAGTATTTTTAATTTTCTTTTTTAAATATAGATTTTACAAGAAAAAAATAATAATCAGAGCTTGATTATATTTCTATGCAAAATTTACTATTCAAGTGTAGGAGAAAACTAATAGAAAATAAAAGGCAGAATATAAATCAATTGCTCAGTTTCTCTCAAGAAAGCAGTTACATAGTTTATCTAGTCACTATTTTCCCAGGTGTGGTTTCTTTGTATTTTTTTTTAACTAAAAATATGTAAACCTACAGTTAACTGAATATTAGAATATATATACTTAAACAGTCTTCTTCTTCTCCCCCCCTTTTTTTTTACTTATAGAAAACTTTAAACCATTTTTAATTTTTCCTAAAAAGCAAAGGCAAAAATTCTCTTAGCTAAATAAATATCCCTGAAACAGGCTAGCAGAATATCATAATAGCCCGGGATTCTTTACTCCTTTGAACTATCAGAAAAACCAAAGGCCATAGCTTTCTAGCATCAACAGAAATGGAAAGAGTTTAGCCAACGTATGCAATGATCTTATTTAAATCCTTCTTAATGTTGCAAAGATCTGTTGACAGTGAAGCTCTAAATTTGTGTCTCTGTAAACCATGAAAGCACCACTAGATGGTGCTCAAGAATATATATAGTCTCTAGAATTTGCAAATCCCATGGACTAAAAGACAGGATTGCATTTCTCGTGATGCTAAATATTTTATAACTCTAGAGGTTTAGTCTCCCAGGTAAAAAAAATCCAGAAATAGCTATTAAAAAAAAAAAAAGTAGAAATTCTCCTCCCTGGTAGGGGAGGAGAATTAAGCGTTTCAGAACTGATCAGATGACCAAAATTCAGTGAGCTTCCCAATGGCAGCCATGCACATAAGGATAGACTTGATGATAGTGCCTTAAAATTCACTCCATTCTGGGAAGAAAATGTCTTCTCCAGGAAGGCTGCTCTTAACGCTCTTGGTAATGAAAGGTTCTTTGTATTCTTCCTCCGAAGGACCTGGAGCTGTTACTTTTTCAGGCATGTATGTAAGATCTGTTGCTCTTGAAATAATGGGCAAGATACATGGGATTCTCTACTATAACGATTATGAGAAGTCCAGAAGGAGAATTCTGACTTATGGCCTTTATTTCAAAAACTCTTCAGTCTTAATCTGAAACAACAGTCACTATTCTGTTCCTGTAAAGCACCAGAATATTTGTCAGCTAGGAGAGATATTTGGATACCTTTAGGCAATGGAAAGTATGAGGGGTTTTAGTTTCACTATAGTGTGTCTATAATCATTAAATTATTATATATGTCAATCACCAAGTTTAAAAAGAAAGCAGCAGCACCATCTTCATACTGTATAGAACTTCACTGATTAGCTTTTCTCTGAGAGCAGTTAAGCTACGCTTAACCTAGCCACACAGGACGTTAAGCAGAGGTGGACTGTAGGTGCTTAGATAAGAATTTGTGTTGACCAAAACTGATCTGTTTTGCTCATGTACTGTAAGGAATCTTGAAAGTGATAAAAGCAAATCTGAGGTACTGATGGCACATCAGTCAAAATATAAGGTTGTGTTTTTGGGTACCTGCTTCCACTTTAGTCCAACCTAACCAGTCTGGTACTGGTTTTGACATTCACCAGACAAAGCTTACTGTGAAATGTCTATGTTGAACAGTTCTTTCTACATAGTTAGTGAGCTTATCTGGCTATATGTGATAAATCACCATAATCAAAATAACTAAGGGAAAACGTATCTATTATTTCTAATAATGTCTGTAAATAGTGATGGAGGTATTACTCTTTTATAGAAAGGAATTATTGACTGTCGCTAAGGAAGTAGATTAGAATTGCAGATTCCTCAGAACAAAATTATGCCCATTTTCCACAGGAAATAAAAGAACCCAACAAAACCCACAAAAGAAATTTAGAGTGGACAATGAACAGCCTATGAAAGAGAGAAGGCAAAACAAAAGAGACTGAACCTTACTTTGTTTTCCTTGTGGAAAATGTCTCTGGCTTAAGAAAAGAGAGAAGAATGAAAAGCTTCTTTGATTGATTTTGCAGCTAATAGAATAGCACAAAGCATGCTGATTGCTTTAAAATGGAGAACTTGATTCAAAACTGGCATGAACATATTTAGCTTCCACAGAAGTTAGCAATAAGCGAATACTATGACTCTTCAGACTGCGTTCCAACAGAAGCGCGCACATGCAAAAGCATAAGCCATGAGTTATATGGCACTCACATTTATATATTGCAAGTGAGAGTTACATTGCACTATATATTTCTTGATTGTATTATAGATTTATCAATATGGTGATACTATACACTGCACTAAACTTAGATTTTAGTAGATCCAAAGTACTTCATGACTGTAAGGCCACGGAAGATGATTGAGTGAAATTGCCATTTGAATGAGGTTTGGACCTATCCAGTTACCATATGCCTTGTATACTTTCATGCTAAGCTCTTAGAAAATGCTGGTAATGCTTGCCTTAGTAAACACTGGTGAAACATCCTCATAATTTGGAAATGCAAAATATATCAAAATTATCATGACATAATGTCATGGGTTCAGCAGTAGCAGTCATTTTTCCCCTTCTTGGTAGCTGGTGCAGTGCAATGTTTTGACTTTCAGCTTGGGAACAGAGCTGATAACAAGCGATGTTTTGGCTTGGCCAAGGACTTTGTGAGCTTCATGCTCTGCCAGGGAGGAGGGGAAGCCAGGAGGAAGCAGAGACAGGACACCTGACCCAAACTGGCCAAAGAGGTATTTCATACCACAGCACGTCATGCCCAGGATGCAACTGGGAGTTAGCCGGAAGGGCTGGGGGACTGCAGGGTTGGAGGAGGTATCGGTCGGAGCTTGGTCGGGCTGGGTGGGGGCGAGTTATCGGTCGGCTGGTGGTGAGATGATGTATTCTCTTCCCTTGTTATTTCCTTTATCATTATTATCATTGGTGGTAGCTGTAGTGATTTGTGTTATACCTTAGTTACTAAACTGTTCTTATCTCAACCCGTGGGAGTTGCATTCTTTTCGATTCTCCTCTCCGTCCCTCCGAGAGCAGGGGGAGGGCAAGAAAAGGGGGGGAAGTGAGCGAACGAATTACCTGACAGGGTTTAAACCACGACACATAAAGATATTAAGTTTGCAACAAAATTGCAGTGCCATATCCAGAGCAGGAGTGAAGAAAAGTCTTTTTCTGTTGTCACAAATTCCAAAGCAGCTTTTTTTCATAATTGCAATACACAAATCAGTATTATTCTTCTATACAATATACCAAATTGTCCTGGTTTCAGTAGTAGCAGTCATTTTTCTCCTTCTTGGTAGCTGGTGCGGTGCAGTGTTTTGACTTTCAGCTCGGGAACAGAGCTGATAACAAGGATGTTTTGGTTTGGCCAAGGACTTTGTGAGCCTCATGCTCTGCCAGGGAGGAGGGGAAGCCAGGAGGAAGCAGAGACAGGACACCTGACCCAAACTGACCAAAGAGGTATTCCATACCACAGCACGTCATGCCCGGGAGGTAACTGGGAGTTAGCCGGAAGGGCTGGGAGACTGCAGGGTTGGAGGAGGTATCGGTTGGTGCTTGGTCGGGCTGAGGGGGGGCAAGTTATCGGTTGGCTGGTGCTGAGGTGTTGTATTCTCTTCCCTTGTTATTTCCTTTATCATTGTTATTATTGGTGGTAGCAGTAGTGATTTGTGTTATACCTTAGTTACTAAATTGTTCTTAACCTGTGGGAGTTGCATTCTTTTGAATTCTCCTCTCTGTCCCTCCGGGAGCAGGGGGAGGGCAAGAAAGGGGGGGAAGTGAGTGAACGAGTTGCCTGACTGGGTTTAAACCTCGACACAAATGAATGTAGTAACAACAGCTTCCTACCACTTGCACAATTTCTTCAGGGCTATTTTCAAGCTCCAGTGCTCTTCAGTATGGGAAAGTGAATAAGATGTCAGTGAGATAGATTTAGTACATTTAGGATTGATTTAGTACATTTAGGATAGATTTAGTACATTTAGGATAGATTTAGTACATATTGGCATTGTAGTATTTGCCAGTTCTTGATTAAGCAGATTGACATAACTTAGCTCTCAAATTCAGTGAAATTAGATAAGGATGTGAACAAAAGTGGGAAAGCTGTTCTTGAAGATAATATATAAGCAGTTAAATAATGTTTCACCTGATATTTAGAAGTAGTAATCTCTGGACTAGTATGGAAAAGGCTGGATGGAGAACAGACCATTTATAAATCTATATAATATAGGTTAGTTCAAATGAAATGGAAAGATATTGAATAAAATTACTGAGTTGTTGAGTCGTAAAATTGGCAAGCTATTGTTGCAGTACAACCATATACTGCAGTCTCTTCACCTTTTATGTTAGGAAGGCCATGTACAGTTCAGTACTTCGACTTTAGATACCTGAGTAACGCTAGCTGCAGTGTAGTTGTAGTAGATTTGGTAACATGCCAAGAAACAGCTTCCCCCGACTCAATTAAGGATCATACAATAAAAAAAATATGTAATTTGTGGTCAGGTACAGCCTCATCTCTCTGTGTCAGAGGAAGGTGTTAAATTCAGTTATGGATAAATTTCATCTCTGGCTCATTATTTTGCTCCTTTATGCTGCATTTTGCCTACATAAATTCCAGTGGAGTGCTGTAAAATTGTTACTGTATTTTATCCTGGTAGTATAACTACTTCTTTAGAATTGACTTGACAGTTCTTCATTTGGAAACTAATATACTTCATCAGGGAATGCTGAAATGATAATGCTTAACCTTAAGCTTCCAGAGTTAAAGAATTGCAACCAAGCAGCTATTGTGACAGCAGTCATGGTAACAATACAGCACAGAGTACTAAATGTTGTTTTTCACATGGTAATGTAGCTTCTATAAATTATAGGCTATGTGATTCAACCCTTTATCACTATGATTGGGCATTCTATAATCACTGGAACATACATTAACAGTAAAGCATATAAACCCAAAATATGTAGCCATGAAATACAAATACTGTGCTCATTTCATGTAAAAGGATGTTCAAACTGACTAAAATGGCAGTATGCATGAGATCGGTTTATGAATACCAATAGATGTGGAAGCAGAAATTAACCAGGAAGCAGCAAGAGAGGTGCTGGCAAAAGCTGGAATCATATAGGGCCATAATACATGCTTTACACTTTATTGCAATTTTCCAATTAACTAACTGCTGGAAAACACCCTGGTTTAGTGTGTTAGCAGCACGGTTTGCTGCTGCTCCTGGGTGTTAGAATGCAGAGGCAATCACACCATATTGAGACTGTTATGGACAAACAGAGCAGAACCACCCATGTAACCTTTTAATAATTAAAATTTTCTGCTTTTCTAAAATGCTTTCCAAGTGTTACAGCAGGTTCAGGACCCAGTTCGTGTTTTGTGTGCTGAAAGCGTTAATGGTTTACACACCATTTATGGAAAATCTTAATTAAAAAAATATTCTGAAAATGACATTTGTATTTTCTCAGTCCCCAAATGAGCCTCTAAGGCATCTCTGTCTGAACAGCTTAAGGATAATAAATATATTGTGTAAATTAAAAGAAAATAGACCCTTTATAGTCTCTGATTACATCTCCAGAATGTGAAAAGCCTGAATCGATGCACTGATGCAAGTTCTTAGTGAGTCATCTCAGCCAAATCCTTTTCACTCTTTTTCTCTTGCACTAAGGTTTTTGTTTCATGTTTTCTGCTCCTTCTTTCTGGTATAACTCAGAGATACCCCAAGGAAGGTAAACACATTAGGTTATGTAGTTCACCATGTTTCTATAAAACAATGTACTGATTTAGGACGAATAAATATCTGGCTCTAGAATTACTAATAACTGCTGTTGTACTGGTGACAGGAACCAAAACACAGCAGAGGGTTTTGTTTACAAAACAACATACTAGAGGAGAGAAAATAGCAATAAAATACTGTTTCAAATTTCTTCTTTGGATGATGACAAGAATAGCAACCCTTACTCATCTGAGTTAGATCCACTAGATGTCTAAAGTGGTATATAAAGGCAGTTTAGGCACTTGGTACTCTTCTTTCCAGATATTATCATCACTGAATGTTACCTAACATAGGAAGTATGTATCTATGTTTTGCTAGAAATCTCCATAGGCTTTCAGGGAATGCCTTAGGAACACAAAAAAAGAGAGTGCAGGGTTGTGTCCTCCTGAACCTAAGGAGTTTCAAACATCTCGCTCCTTCTGGGAGCCATGATGGATGAGCTGATCAAGAAATCAAAGGCGATAGCATGGTCTTTCACCCTCACTGGATTTCTCCTCTTTTACAGAAATAGATATAGAAGTCAGAGAGAGAGTTTAACCACACTGTCAATGAAAAGAAATGTTAATACCTGGAAGTACGAACAAGGACCCAACTCTAATTCCACGTCGTAGACAACAGGCTCTAGAGACATACGTATTGTTTGCTTCTGGCACTGGGACATAGCTTCCCCATGTTGGCTAAACCAGTTTCCTAGCATGCCCTCCTGCAGCTAAGAAAAAAAACCACACCAAAACCACAAATGAAATACCATCTCTTCATTCTAGAAAGAATTTATTCCAGTAAATGGAAAGGAAGTGAATTGAACTTTACACTGGCTTTATTTGTATAACAAACAAAATTTAAAAAAATCCCATAATAAAGTTAATGTCTTAAAAAAGGAAAAGAAAAAAACAAAAAATCCAAACGCACTGCAAAATAAAAAAATGAGAATTAAGCTTGTCACAAAAGACTACAATACTTTCCTTGAAAATTTAATTCAAACCTTTTAGTCTGATAAAAAACATTTTTTTCCTGAAAGAAAATTAAAGCTCCGAACCCACAAAAATGAATGAATGAGAAGACAGGAAGTTATAAGGGCACAAAAGATACTCTGTTAATATTCTCTAATCCTGCTAATGTTATTTTGTTATCTGGTTATTCAGTATTGTCAGAACCTTCTCCAGGTCTTCATAGTCAAGGTTTGCTTGTGCATATTTTGAGCTGTATAGATTTGAACACTGATTTCTGTGGAACTAATTCCAAAGCAATAAATCATTCATGTCAAAATTCCATCTTTGTATTCTACTTTTAAATCAATTATGAATACATGAAATTACTTTCTCTCTAAATTTCATTAATTTCACAACAGGTCAGCGTCTATATGAGTTCCTTTTGATAAGTCTTTAGGTTGTATAAATAAGCAGCACAAATCTAGTCTTTTCATAAATATTCTTGTTTAGTACTTCAGCAAATCCTTTTCTACAAAAGTTATGGGATTCATACTTGCTTCATTAATGTGTATCCACATATATGCTAACTTTAGTGTGTAACAATTTTTACTAGCTTGACAGGTACACGTACCAAGTTTCTGTTGTTACATGGATACCATTCAGTGCACTGTTTAGAAATTGTTGTTACATTCCTTACCTTATTCCTGAGAGCAATTTAATCAAGAGACTATACAGAAAATTAACTGATTGGAAATTTCAGTACTTTCTTTAGCAGTCTCATGTGAATAGCAGCTGAACTTAGCCAGAGTTTATAGTTTATTCTACTTTCTTCACCTGGTTCCAACTTCTTTTTTAAGAAGGAATTTTTATTTCTAATGTTTTCTCAAGGTACTGTAGACACAAGTATAAGAGAGATTTGAAAAGAATCTGTGGCCGTCTATTTCTACTTATGGTTTACCCTTTTAAATTTTCCTTTTAGAATCATAGAACTGTAGAACCAACTAGTTTGGAAAAGAACTTAAAGATCAAGTCCAACCTCTACCCCAGGACTCCCAAATCCACCATTAAACCGTGTCACACTTTGTCATTCCTCTCTTCTGGCTGTTGTGCAGCTTTTTTTTTTTTCCCCTTCTTAAATACATTATCCTAGAGGTGCTACCACCGCTGCAGACGGGCTGAACCTTGGCCAGCAGCGGCCTACTTTGGGGGACTACTGTCCATGTATTTGTTGCTGAAAGGTATTAGGAGTCTTAAACTGTATTCCTGTGTCGTGTGCTGATCACCATCACAATCAGCAGGCAGGTCCCAAGGATACCCAAAGGCCATTCAAAACCTTCAGAACTCTCAGTTGATGCTGCTGTACTTGTCACTGGGGCTGGTGTAGCCGCTGTGCTTGCCGGGCCTCCCACCGCCAGCTTCTCTTTTCCCGAGTCCAGCTCTTCCTCCTCTGCCTTGCTGGGAAATGCTGCGTGGTCTCCTGCATCCTCCTGGGGCTCGGCGGGCGGCTTCCGGGAAATGCTCTCGGCCGTCGGGGGGCTGGGCTCGGCCGCGGGGCTTGGCTTCTCCGCGGGGCTGGGCTCGGCCGCGGGGCTCGGCTCCTCCGCGGGGCGGGGCTCCTCCGCCGCCTTCTCCCGCAGCTCGGCAGCCGCCTCCTTCCGCTCCTCGACCGCCCCGACCTCCTCCACCGGCAGCCGTCCCCTCGCGGCTTCCCGGCCAGCTCCCGCCGCCGGTTGCTCCCGGGGGCCGCTCTCCAGGGCCGCTTCAGCAGCCGCCGGCTCCCGGGGCCGCTCCCCCTCAGCTCCCCGCGGCCTCACGAAGACGGAGGCGAGGGCGAGGGCCAGGCCGGTGAAGAGCAGCCGGACGGCCAGGTACAAGTCCACGGCCACGTCCGTCCTGCCCTGGTGCTGAAGCCCGCCCGTATTACAAGTCATTGCCATAAAGCACAGTGAGACAAGAGCCTTAGCCCAAGCCCCACACTTGATAAACACTAACACAGCAAATACCGGCTCTAAGTAAGTTACAACGGTCTGAAGCTGTGAGATCAACAAGAACAACTCTGAGAGCCAATAAATCAGCACTGTGACAAATGACTATTAATCCGGTCAGATCTGACGTTATCTCAACCCCTCTTGGCCCACGTTGGGCGCCAAAAAGAACTGTTGTGGTTTAAACCAAACCAGACAACTCGTTCAACCCCCCCCCCCCCCCCCCCCCCCCCCCTTCTTTCCCTCCCCCTACTCCCGGAGGGATGGAGAGGAGAATCAAAAGAATGCAACTCCCACGGGTTGAGATAAGAACAGTTTAGTAACTAAGGTATAACACAAATCACTACTGCTACCACCAATAATAACAGTGATAAAAGAAATAGCAAGGGAAGAGAATACAACACCTCATCACCAGCCGACCGATAACTCGCCCCCCCCCAAGCCAAAGCCGCCTGGCTTTGGCTCTGTGAGACACAGGGTAGGCTTCTAGAGGCTTCTCACAGAAGCCACCCTGGTAGCCTCTCCTGCTACCAAAATGTTGCCTTACAAACGCAATACACATAGCAATAGTGAAATCAAAACTATATACACACATATATTTGTGAGTGTATGTGCCTGTGTACACGTCCGTGTGTATAACATACCAACATATACAAATATACACATATGTAACACACTTCTAATACACATATATAACACTTCCTAACTGCTTGTTATTAACTTTACATCTATCCAATTATGTTGACGTTACTGGTGGCTATGAAACTTGTTTACTTAAAGATATGTGATTCTTTCTAGCCTACAGCATAGGAGTTAATCATAAAATGTTAGTACTAGTTTCTAATTAGTTCTGATATGGCATGTGTAGGAAATCTGTGTTGTGGTAATACTACTTTTCTTTATTAAATACGGAAATTTCTGCCATTCCTATATTTTTTTTGATACTTCCCATTCACACCCTCTGCCATTGCATAGTGTTTTTAATATGCTACCAATTTTTCTACTTTAGCCAAGTTTCTGATTAATTAGCATAACCTCAGGTATTAACAAATGATAGATTCATAGAATCATTTATGTCAGGAAAACTCTTAAGATCATTGAGTCCAACTGTATATTAGAAGAAATACTGGTTTTTGATTGGAATTGAAGAAGTCATCCTGAAACAGAGTTCATGTGGAAATTGGTCCTTTGCTAGCAGGAGTGCTGTAAATCCTGCTAGATTAATATTATATCTGGTAGACAAACTGTATCATTGCCTGAGGCCCAGATTGTGGTCACATCTATTTGACAATTTTTACTTCACCTCCTCTCTCCCCCACCTCCTTATTATTAGGAATATGCCAGTTTATTAAAACCAGTTTTCAATGTAAACATTAGTTTCAATAAGAATACATTTCTGGGCAAAATCTGAGACCTTTGTCACTGTGCTTACTACAAGTAACTCAGTAGCTGAACTGAGACAAGCTTAAGCTGTCTCATAGACTCAAGCCAGACATTTGAACCTATCTGGTGACCCAAAACTACTAAGGCAATTGTTATTCTGGTGTACATCTCTCATAAGAACTCCTGCTGGAGATGTTTGAGTATTTGAACATTCAGCAAAACAAAATAAATTTAACATTGTTTTTTGTTTGGAAGACTCCTGTCAATGTGTTTACTGCTGAAAGGAATTGGGAGTTTTATTTTTTTTTTCCTCAAAAGGGTGAAAAAGAAAGAAAGAAAGGCAAAAAATAAATGCTTATTGTAAAGGCAAAAGAAGTCAACATCTGACTAAACTTGTTTTGTAAGTGCTGAAATAAGCAGTTCCTCAAAGGATGAGTTTCTTTAATAGAACGGTGTATAAATGCTCATATAAGTGCTAATATCATGACCTAAGCTGCTAGGGAGCTTAGACTGCTAATAGAAGTATATATACATTTATTTGGTTGTAATATATTATGATTCAATTGGGTATGGAAACGAGAAGTGTTTAAGTGTCTCATCATTTCTCATTCCAGTAACAGAGTCAGCACCCCTGTCGTTTGTGGTAGTTAGAATTATAAAGCTAAATGTTTTCTGGACTGAGATGTCTCAAATTTTATGACCATATGGAGTTTTTAAATACTATTTTTCCATTGTTATCTTCATATATCGCAATGCCAATAGTACCATTTCTATCAGCAATTAAAGTTTTTACTCTTACTTAATTCAGTTAAGAGTTTGTTTTATGCAAATTTTCTCTGTAGAAAGCTTTAAGTTTAGACTTCATATTAAATTAGCAAGATAATTACTGTTTGTGGTGAAATATAACATCCATTTCAATACAGAATCACATAATCATAGAATCGTAAACCCATAGAATGGTTATGGTTGGAAAGCACCTTACAATCATCTAGTTCCAATCCCTCCGCCATGGGCAGGGATGCCTCACTCTAGACCAGTTGCTCCAAGCCCCAACCAATCTGGCCTTGAACACTGCCAGGGGTGGAGCATTTACCACTTCTCTGGGCAACCTGCTCCAGTGCCTCACCACCTTCACAGTAAAGAACTTCTTCCTTATATCCGAACTGAACTGCTTCTGTTTAAATTTGAACACATATATAGCATTGATAGAAAGAATGGCAACATGAGCAAGTACTTGAATAGACTGTTTTCTGTATAACAATGGTTTTTCCTCTAAAAGAAGTCAAATTGGAAAAAATCTGTTATTGTGATGAATCGAACTAACATAACGTTGATGGCTACCTGACTTTCCAAAGGTTAAAAAGAGCAGATTTGGTAAAAGATGTTTGTTGACAGAAATTACTGTTGGGGTCAATGGTGCATTTTGAGAATAAAAGTAATCTATGTGATGGCAGAACGTGCATGCCCCGTTATAAAGTTTGCCATGGTTGCTCTGAGTACTTAAATGGATGATATCCTAACTTCTGTGCTAAGAAGGCTGACAACGATGAGTCAAATATGTATTGTACACACAAAGATGCTTGCTCATATTATGAAATATGTGTTATTATCATGGTCTAAGCCATCACAGTCTTGTGAGCTATTTCAGTGTAGTAGACAGCATAATTTTATATTAAATACCGCCAACTGCATGTCAAGTTAGATGAAAATATCTAAACTGGTAAAACAGACAAACATAGTCCCGCATAGAATGATCAGTTAATCTTGATGCACTTTTAGAGTATATTATGTTCCTTTATTATTTTATTCACTTATGAAAGTAATCATGTTATCATTTGCAGAACTCTATTTGGCTAGTTCTAGTGTTTTATTAAATGTGAACTTAGGGATAGTTTTAGAAATGTGACCATACTATAATGTAACGTATCAACACACCACATTGTGATTCTAACTCATTAAAAGTCATTATGTAGGAAGGGTTCTTATCATCAACTTTATCTGTCCTTACACGTAAAACCATATATGTGGTAAGATTGTAAAACTTCCTTGCTTGAACCCTCATTTTGATAAGAAGCAGTATTCATATATGTGTAGGACAATGAAAAGATATGAATTCCAATGCCTGGATATAGAAGTATGTAAACTCATACCTAAAGTTATACTAAATAGATTTACAATGCAAGAATAATGTAAGTTTAATGTACCTGATCTATGTAGAAACACAACCTATGTTTCTATTTCAAAAGTAGATGTGTATGTTAAGATTTCCAGGAATGGTTTTAAACTGATTTGAAATAATCATTATGAAGAAAAATAAATGTTTTAACCCCATAAGCAAATATATTAAAATATCTGTAAAATACATACTTATGTATTCATTTAATAACTAAAATTATTAAAATTAGAAATATATGAATATAATATATATAATACATTAAAATTCTTTAGTCATGTTCAATCACCACAACTGTAAACTTGACCTAACAAATATATACAGGATTGAACATTTCCTTTCTTCATTCATAAGCATTTATTCACATATAATCTATTTTTTATAATTTATCAATCACATAATTACCATCCTCCCCCAGAAGCAGCGTTTTAGAGATAACCATTGCAAAAATAACAGTGCTAATATTAGAAGAACTTCAAATTTCACTGACTTTACCTTCTTGTGTGTTTTTCCTTTGGTTTACTTGCATAACAGTGTAAACCCAGTGTTGAGTTTGTAGCTGTGTTACCGGATGACTAAACTCCCATTTGTGTTCCTGCTCTTGCATTGCTGTCTTGCTGGCATCTGTAAAATTATATGTTGAACTGTGCCATAGACT